GTGCCCAAGCAGGACTAGAACTCATGGTCTCCTGGTTTCTAGCCTGATGCCTTAATCACTACAGGTAGTCTTCAGGTTATGACCACTCGTTCAGTGACCATTCAAAGTTATGACAGTGCTGGACAAGTGGTACAACCAGTCCTTGAAGTTCTGGCCATCGCAGCACCCCCGCAATCACGTAGTTGCAATCTGGGTGCTTGGCAACCAGCTCGCACTTACAACAGTTGCAGCATCCTGCAGTCATATGATTGCCATTTGCAACCTTCCCTGCCGGCTTACCATAAGCAAAGCCAATGGGGAAGCCATCAGGGAAGATTGTTAGTTGCTCTCATAAGTTGCTCCCGCCACTTTTTCTCCCAAGGAGCGCTGCTACAGAGTACCAGAACCCGGGATCTCATACTCCATAGCACTCCCCTGCCTGCCCGCACTCTGTAGTGCATGCCCATCCACAGGTCCACCTGCCCTCCATAGCATGCACCTGCTTGCAGCATCCCTGCCTTCGGCCCCCACCAGCTCGCCTGCGCTCTGTAGCACCCATCTGTGATCCTTGCCAACCTGCCCACTGCCCCTGTTAGCCCTCCTGTGGCCCCACCTGCAGCCCCCACCAACCTGCCTGCAGCCCCACCCACAGCCCATTGGCCCACCCATGCTCTGTAGCGCCTACCCACAGCCCACACCAGGGTGCCTGCAACACCGCCCACAGCACCTGCATACCCCCCCCCACATGCACACTCCTTGCTTGGGATTCCCGCCTCTTCCCATTTAATGACCTGTGTGGTCCTGGGGTTATGACGGCAACCAGGACTGCTGTCGCTAAACAATGCATTCATTTGATATTGTGCTTTACAATCACATTGCTTTGCAACAGAAATTTCAGTCCCAACTCCCGTCATAACCTGAGGACTACTTATACACCAAACTGGCTCTAGATGTCATTTACTGTCTCTTTTATCTGCTGACTGTTCTTGCATTCCTTTGGCAACACTATTTCTGCTATATTGTCTGACAGTAGCCTTAGTCACAACACATATCACTGTCTCAGACATTCATTACACATCCCTGCAGGTGAGTCAGGGCTCTTCATCATATACAGAGCCAGATTACTCCAATCTCCCCTTCTGTTGAAGGCCAAAAAGTTTGGTCATTTTAAAAACAACAGTCAAAAGTCAGAAAGAAGGCTGACAAAAGCATAGCATTATAATAATTTCCTCACAGCCCCTGATTAAAGTTTTCCCAGGATAAATGGAAAGCCAAATAACTGAACCAGAGGAAATATCTTTGTCAGGAGTCTTCTGTTTCTATAGAAATAGGTGAGATGTTTACCTAGGAAGTTACACTAGATTTGATTTCTGTTTTCTATGTAGCACCAAACCTCAAGCTTTTATTTCTTTGCAAAAACTGTGAACTGCATATATCTTTAGCCATTATTCTATCATTCAGGCTGGGTTCAAATGTAGCATATTTTCTTTAAAATCTATTTGTGATTTGTAATAATACTGAGAATACTCCTTCTCCAGTCTTTCTCCACAGATTTGCAGATAACTTTTTATTTGGAGCAGACCAGTGCTATCTAGAGGACCAGACTTCTTAATTAAGTTGACAGCTCTGTGATGTGGGTGGCTCTCTAATAGATCTTCTCCATCAATGAATGCTTGCATTTTAATATTTAGAGTTAAACATTTTTTTTTTTACATTTTACCTTTTTTTCTTTGAAAAAGGAAGTTTGATTTTGTTCATTTCTGAGGAAATTGGTCTATCTACCAATGGGACAAAGAAGGACTGAACCTTCTATGTCAACTTGCAGGAAGTAGCACTATTGAAAAAATGCATTCTTCATCAATATTACAAATTATACAGTACCTTCTGGTGGAATGTTCTGAGACATCCTACTTGACGGTAGCTTTACATTAATCTGGCAGGAAAGGAAACAGTGAAAACCTTTACTTTCAGTATACAGCATAAACAGTTTCTCCAGCTTGGTACCCTCTTAACTGATTGGATTACAACTGTCATAATCTCCTAACCAATATGACTGTTGGCTAAGTATTTGGGAAAAGAAAGATATGTAATAATCTTCAGGAGATGTCCACACTTTCTATGAGTAGTTTTTTAAGACTCTGATTAGCTAGTTCTGCATGGGTCTGAATTCTCCCTAAAAAAGTAGATTAACAGTTTATGGATACTGTTAAATTTAGCTCTGTCTCTGGAGGCCTGGATATCAAGAACAGCTCTCCACCAATTATGGTTCACATGCCAGCTACAACTCCTTCTCAACTGAGATAGCCCTTTGTTATCCATGCACTAGTTTTTCAGTCCACTGTAAGACATAGTAACATGGGGCTGCCTTGCTAATGCAAAACAGAGCAATCATGGCTACTAGCTGGGACTGGGCAGAGCACACAGCATTGAAATAGCTTTACTAACTGTTCCATGCACTATTGAAAATGCTGGTCATTCAAGAATGCCTGCCTCCTATTTTCAAACCTTTACTTTCTCTGGGGGAGTTAAACAGAATAGATTAGGATCTGCTTCAGATTGCAATGCCAAACAATTTAAACTCTCTGCTGTCTTGTGCAGGAATGGGACAAGTGGCAGTTAATTAAGAAAGTCCCTTGCTTTCTTTTACATTTGCAGGTATAAATCTGTAAGAGCACTTTCAGGGCTCTTGCCATGGTACTGTACTACTGGCAGGGGGTGGATTTCGTTGCCCTTGTTCAACTGAAATAATAAATGATCAGAAGTACAGAAAAACACTGCTTTATCTTAAGAAGGAACTAAGCAGGTATGAAGCAGGTTTATGCAAACCTTCCTTGGTTCTCTTGTCACTGGTGCACTACTATAGCTTCTCCCCTCCTGAACTTCATATTGCAGAGAAAAAGACTCAAGGATATCATAAAGATCTTGTGCCTGAAGAGGAGGAGAAATATCCCCAAACAGAATGGCGCTGGCACGAATATCTCGGCCATAGAACCTAAAAACAAACAAGCAAAAATCCTTCATGTTAGCCCACAAAGTCAGAGGGGAAAAGAACCTTCATGTTCCTGGTATTCTGTTTCAGTTTAATTTCTTTCATTGCTTCCTAACTAAGAAAACTCTGCATGTTGGGATAAGTGGGATTTGGATTAAAATGCCGCACTGTTTCACGCCCTCTTTCAGGACACTCCAGTATCAAGGCCTTCATGATCTACATTAGTTGGGGTTTCCTCCCACAGATACACAAAGCCTCAGAAGAATGTACATAAACAAAACCTTCAAACATTTATATGTATGCCAGAAGCACACCTGAAACAAGATGTTCAATATTTAAAGATTCAGCAGGCAGGCTTTCTGCATCTATAATCCTTCAGCAGCTTCTCCCAGCCAAAACATCTTATCCTGAATTTTGATGACACACAGGTTTTGTAATCCAATCTCAAAACTGATAATAACTGTTATTTTACCAACGTTCCTTGTCGTAATGCAAAGCTGCTTTGAATCTATTCCAGCTCTAATCCAATTTAAAGATGCTGACGACTGAATGTAACATTTCCTCCTGTTATTTTATACAAACCATATGCAGCATTTTCAAGAGGGAACTTTTAAAAAACAAAATGCTTTTGTTTATGCTATGCTTTTTTACACCACAGGATGTAAATTTTGAACTAAGTACGCTGGGCTATTCATTTGAACGTACTTGCTGTTGGTTTCCTTTCTTTCAATTAAGCAAGTTCCTTCCAAAGAAACTCCTGCAAATAGCCCTCGAGATTTGCAATAGGTATACACAGCAGCAGAGCTCCGCAGCGCCACGTCGCCTTCTAGATTTCTAAAAAAGATGAAAAATATTATGATGAGCTTGAAGTCATATTTGTATGTATCTTTACTTTGCCCAGTGCTAAAAATTCCTTCCACCTTTCCCCATGTGAACTAGGTTGCTGAAAAGTTACACCAACAGCAATAAACTGCTGCCCTAGTAGGTGACAGCACTTATCCAACCTTGGTTAGTCTAGTTAGCACATGGATGAGACACCAAATGGAAATCCCAGCACTGTAGGCTAGATTAGGCAGTTGAAAAAACATTTTGAGAGAAGGCAATAGAAATATTGCTACTGTGAAATCTGCATGATCATGGCAATACAGTCATCTGGAACTGAGCTTGACTCAAAGGCTTGTTTTTTTCTAGTACACTGTGCTAATTGAGTCTTATAATTATATATAATGAAAGCAGTTAATCAGAAAAAAATCCCTAGTTAAAAGCCATCATGGAACTAAAAACTTGAGTCAACCATTCTTCGCTCTTCCAGCAAACATTAGAAACGGAATTGTTTCAGAGGGGCTTGCCTTAAATTTACACATGCTGCCATCTTGTTTTCTTGTAGTTTCTGTGTTTTTCTGTGGGTTTTGACGCAGTTATTGCTATCGTTATTATTCGGATTATTATTCGGATTGGTTTTAATCTAATGGTGGATGTTTTGATTTCTGACATATGCAATGGGCCACTGAGAATCATTCTGATTGCAACAGGGAAGAAGCATGATAAATAAATAAACAAACAAACAAACAAACAAATAAAATGAACGCCCTTGTCACTGACATCGACATCTTTATTAAACAAGGCTGTGCAAAATGCTGCTGCTGACAAAGGGCTTTCCCTCAAACCATGGAGGAACTGTGTCCTCCAGAAGGCTCGGAACGGCTGCTTCAAAGACTTTTCCAGGGTTGTCCCCAGAAGCGCTTGCACACTCCATGGAAATGTTGTCTGCACACGCCCGCAAACAACTTGAGAAAGCCTGCCAAGCAGTTGTGCCAAACTTTTAAAGGAATTTTCCTCAATGCTTCAAAAGAAAGGTGCTTTGTGAGGCAAACCTGTGAGTGTTTTGCAGAATTCTTATTACCGAACATTTGCCCTCAGTGAAATTTTATCCAAGTCAGGTTATCACCCCAAAAGAAACCTTTCCACACAAGTTACCTTTTTTTAGGTCACCTATTAAAATATGTTGGTGTTTCAAAATATATCACAGTCATCTATTAGAAGAAATACCCCCAAAGATCTGGGGGAAAACCCCCCCAATAACCTTGAACTACTGTTTGATAACCAATTCAAGAACTTGTAGAAAATAAGAAAAAATAAGTTCATGTACATCTTTTCATGTTTCCTTTCCTGAAACTAAAGAAAAGAGAAAAAAGAGAAAAAAGAAAGGGAAAGGAATACATTAGTAATGCATACAGATGAAAAGAAGCATCTGATGGGCCTTCAGGTAGTCATTAGTGACTGGTTTGAGTCCAAAGCCTAGAAAAGTTGTAACTGCTTTATTCTGTACCCCTTTGCACGCAAAGGTTTTGACATGGAGAAACATTCATTCAGGTGAACTCCCTCAGGCACTGGGAATTGGTACATGGCCCAGGAAAGTGGCATTACATGTTTTGCCTGAATGCCTCTCCAAGTGTAAGATGAACAGTACAATTTTCAGTTTTCAGGAAACAATTAAATAAGGAGCATAGAAACAGTTTCAGGCATTCTGACTTTACAGGATATTAATGATACTCACCTCCCTAAAGGCCCAATTGCCACCGTAAAATTTCCTCCCAGAGTAAGATTTCCACCTTTTGCAAAAGCTTCAACTGCTCTTTCATGGTTCAGTATTATTACAAGATCTGATACCTTATGGCAACAGTTTGTGGGTGGAATAGATCGAGAGGGGAAAAAAAGGAATGAATGTTAGTCTTTTTCCAGAAGCAAACTACGGGTTGTTCAACAGATCTTGGCTTAGAGCAAAGGTAAACAATATAATGCCTTTTGGTGTTTGTCAGATACACTACAGGCACACATAAGACTACCATGTTTCTTTAAATGACAAAAATACTAGAATTCATGAGATTTCAGCAATCTATATACTACTAAAACTCTCATGTCTATAACCTTCAACTGGGCAAAATGGTGTGTCATAGAGTAACAATTTTTGAACCTCAAATGGGCTAACTTACAGAATGGGTCCAAAATCTAGGACCATTACTCCGTGGGATAGAAATTTGGGAAATCTGTGGCTGCTTCAGCACTGCTGTCCTGCCGCACCATGGCAGTCAGCCCAGGTCATGTAATCATCATGGGCGTATCCCCAACTTCTTTCCCGCCTCCCTCTGGCCCCTGCACCCAATTGGCTGGTGGCAAGTCCCGACGGGCAAGTGGCGATTGACTGCTTTGGAAATGAGGCAGAAATTTGAAATCTCTCAATGGTAGTGGGCATTGAGGGAAGGAGGAGGGAGCTACTTGGATGCCTGCTGGCAAGGCAGGGCTGGCTGGGGGGCACTGGTGGTGAACAAGTGAGACCTCTTCTCCCTTGAGGGAGGGGGCTCTTGGGAACATGGCTCCCTTTTTTCCACCTCCCCCCAGCAAAGTGGCAGGCAGTTCCACAGGTAAGCCGAGGAGGAGGAGGAGGCTTCACCAGGGCTCTCCTAAGGGTTGTTAGGGGAGGGCAAATGGTGCAAGCCTCTATTATAGGAAGGGAGGGAGATTTCTGACACTCCCTGCCAGCTTCCCATAAGCAAAGTTAATGGGGAAGCCAGCAGCAAGTCATAAGTCGCTCACACTCCCACTGCTTTTTTGCCCTTGGGCATTCTGTTTCTCTTTTTAGGTAAGGAAATATCTCCAAAACAATGACCCAAAGGGTTGCAGGTTGTCTAGTCTTGAGCTAAATTCTCAGTGATTTTGTACTGAAAACTCATGAAATTTTGGCAGTTGTGACTGATATTATTCTCAGCACCTGGGGCAATAGGTGAGGTACCCAAGTGAGATTGATGACCTCCAACTTAGTGTAATATAGTAACAAAGCCACTGTGTGTCAGAGACAGAGGGAGAGAGATTTCTTGAGCTCTTTCTCAGTGTAGCTTGATAATTCCCTAGATCATTTAAGAGACTGAAGTAAGTTAAGTGGCCATCATCTCATGGTAAATTAAAAGAAAACAAACTCTTTATTAGGAACTGGAATATAGACATTCATTCCGAGCTTGTCTGAATGTTGTCTTCACTTGCCTTGGCACAACCAAAACGAAATTAAATGCAATTTCCAAACACTGCCATAAAAAGGTAGCATTTCTTTGAGTGAAAGGAAGTAACTAGACTGACTTTGAAAAAACTGTAGAAAAAAATCAGGATACAAAAATCTTGGAGGGGAAGAAGAGGGGAAGAATTATTAGGCTGAGAAGCATGCTTGCACAACCTTGCTGAAACCCTCATTATTTATTCTACCAGAAAAGTCATATGTCCCATAAGGATCTAGGTAGAAACAGGATTTACCACATGATAATTAGTTGCTCTGAAACTGTGTCATAATTCTGTAAACTATATGAATGCTTGAAAAGGCCACTGACACCATTCTTAGCGGGATATAGCTGAAGGTTCATGTGTCAACCATTATTTCCCACAAAGTTGGCCTATTATAGAGCCCTGGCATGGTTTCTCAACTCAGAAAAACTTCCCATAAATTGAAGAAGCTTCACTTTCTAACTTTGGCTACTATAGCTGACTTCGCACACAGCATCTATTTCCTTCCAGAAAATAGTAATGGTGACAGACTGGATGGGTAAAGCATAGCCAGTGGAATAGCTGTGTCATCCCCATCAGTTTTCTTGAGTTCATTGCTTGGTTTTGATAATTGACAACTGCAAGACAAATGTGGGCAATACAACTGCTTTGGACCAAAACCTCAGGATCCTGCAGCCACACCAATCAATCATCATATAAAGGTATCTTGCTCCTCTTTTAATCCATAAACTTTGATTCATTTTTTTCTTAATTTCATCTTTGAATATAATTCTTGAAGAAAGCACAGTAACTCTGCATTAACTGGATAAATGAGTTTACAAACTACTGGCTGTGAAGCTGCTATCAAGCTTTTCACTGTAAATGTTCATTCTTCTAGGACATAATGTATGTAAATGCAGAGTAGAACTCCCACAGAATTACTGTTGTTAAAATTTGTTTTGAAAATATTACTTAGATAATAAATATGGAAAGAAAATGAAAGTAAAAGCAAAAATAGTGTATGCCCAGCTAGGATCTTATTAACACTGAGTTAATCACTTAAATCACCCTTGGGAAAAAGAAAAAAAATGGTGTTCCAGAAAAGGCAATCACACTAATGTTATTATTGGATCTTATTAAATCTAGTACAGCAGAAATCCTCTTAGAAGACAACTGTTCCCTTTCATCATACAGGATGGCTCTCTCTTGGTTCACTGTTGCTGTTTTACATACTACCTATCTTTTAAAACATTACCAAATATTTCAGATTATTGTCTGATTCACCGGACACATCTTTTTAGTCAGTTTTTAGAACTAATAAATGTAACATCACAACCCTAAATACTCACCTCAATACCGATTTCAAATCCACCACCAAGGCCAGCAATTCCTATGGCAGACGGAGCAGACCAGCCTATAAATGTAAATAAGAGAAATGCTGTGACTATGCTGAATGCTTAATTTTGACTCAGTAACAGGTGTAAATGCGTTTTTTGCAGAGCTCAACTCCTTTGGCCAGTGGGTATATCCAGAGCACTATGGCTGTTGCAGGGGATGTGGGGGGAGAGAGGGGAATTTGTTTCATAAAAATGGCTGCCACATCAATACTGTCAATCATAAAATAAAAAATGTGATGCTACAGGAAATATGGAAGACACTGATGAATATGTTGGTGGGCATCAACACTAGTGAAATCAGAAAGATATCACAACTTTTTTTAAAATTAAAAGCTTGTTCACAAATAATTTCATACCATTTCATGAATTATATTTGCAAATAAAAAATAAATTAAAAGAAAATATGAAGTCTACAAACAGTTAAGTTATTTCTGTAACCAAGTACAGGTAGTCCTCAGTTAACTACGGTAATTGGGATCTAAATTTCCATCGCCAAGCAACATGGTCATAAAGCAAGACATCACGACTGCGTCGCTTAGCAACAGCGGTTTCGGCACTTCTGGTTTCCATTAAGCGAATCCTGCAAGTCATTAAGTACAACATCATGTGGTCACCATTTGCAACCTCCTGCCGGCTTCCCTATTGATTTTGCTTCTCAGAAGCTGGCAGTGAAGGTCACAAATGGCGATCACATGACTATGGGGACACTGCAATGGCCAGAACTTCGAGGACCGGTTGTAAGTACCACTCATTCACCGCTGTCATAAGTTTGAACGATCGCTGAACAAGTGGTTGTTAAAGAAGGACCACCTGTATTGTATTAATTCCAAATTGTTAAAATTCAAACAAGATAGAAAATAATGTGCAGCTATTTTTGACATCAAATGTCCAGTTTATTGTTACACATATTGGATAGAAATATTTTTAGAACACACATAAAACTAGTTATCTTTCATCAATGAGAACTGAGTCAACAGCAAATTCTCACTTATAAAATATTTGTATTATTTAACCCAAGATGTTTCAACAGCATATAGTGAGGTTTAGTTAACTCCCAATTTCACATACCATTCTTATTTTATAAGTAAATATTGACTCAAGACAAAGAGAGCTTTCATTTGCAAACTATCCTTCAGAATAATGCCAGAAGCTGACTATTAGTGACTGACAGCACAGGAATACAAATGGTTCTGCAAATGTGGCCACATCCATAATATAAAAAGGCAGTTCTGCCTAAGTTTTAGTGTATCGTTTTTGAGGAGATCTTTTACACAGTGGAACCAAAGGAATTTAAGTCTTTTCATCTGATTATTAAGAGAGGAATATACAGAGGTATCAAAGTGCTAGAATCCAATTAGTATTATCTAAATAATGGACTCTAGACCATGATATAATGAACATTAGCCTTTCTATATAGTAAGAACAAATAGGATGATTTGCCATATTCTATCATTTTCCACTTTTATTTTAAATACATGTCTAATTAAGAATATTAATTAAGAATTAACTAATTAATTAATTAACTAATTAATTAACTAATTAAGAATATTCATTATTTTATTCCATTCAACACGTATTTTAACTAAACATATTGTGTGTGCCATTTCTTTGGGTCCCTCGAAATGTCTTTTTTAGTGCAAAATCGGAAGGCATGAATTGTTTTGAAATTATAGTGAGTGGGCAGGCAAGTCCCCACCCCACATTCTCCAAGAACCCAGTCTAGGTCCTCTGTTTCGATATACATCTTCACAATTGAGTTGCTCCTTTTGTCATGTACACACCAAGATATAACACCAATATAGCCCCATGCTGGAGAGAGAAAATACGTGTGTGTGTTTTTTTAAGGACAAAGGCAAGTTGAACTTGGAAGAAATTGTGTGCCTGGGCTGGGAAAAGAAGAGAAATTTCTTCAGCTTCTGAATAAAAAGAAGAAAAAAGTACAAGTTGGAAAAAAAAATCCAGAAAAGCAAACAAAATGTACAGGTCTCTAAGATATAGGTTAAAAGGTCTAGGGAGAACCCTCTGTTAGATTTTTAATTTATTTTGCTAAGTGTCTTTAAGTCTAATATTTTATCTCTGCAATCTATTTTCTCTGTATTGTATCAGTAATTGTGTGAGTTTATGTCATTTGGGATTTCTCTGCTACAGATGTTCCCCTAAGTAACAGAAAACCAGCATCTACTTGTGGTCTGCCTGAGCTTTATATTTTCCTTTACATTTTTGTATTGGAAGTTCTTTTAAGATGCTGTTTGTGATTTGATCTATATATTTTTATCCTTTTTGCTTAAAGTCATACATGAATTTTTACATTCCCATTTTTCTTTTCTTTTTTTTTAATAATGAAGTGTGATTTTATTTATCTCTTGTAAGGGGTTTGATTCCAATAGGTACTTGCCTTGACATAATAAAGTCAGGAAGTGGCGTTATATCATTTATTTCATTTCCTGTTTCTCTCTCTCTCTCTCTCTTTCCTTTTAATTTTTCCAAATGTAATATAGGTTGTGGGAGCCTCACAAGGTTAAGGGGGAGATATTGAGAGAGGTACTCCCTGGACGATACGTAGTAGTAGTAGAAGTAGTAGTAAGTGACAATCTGCTACCCCAAGGCAGGAGGCAGAGTTAGGGTGCATAGACCTAGAGGACTTCTGGATTGAGACCTCCAATCTTCTAACCTTCAGACTTAGTCATGATTGACACGATGGAAGCCATAAATGGATGTCTTGTGGCTGGCATACAGACAGGAGTTTAATGCAGATCAAATAATTATTTTCCCCCTTTTTTTTCCTGCAATTTTTTAGCAGACATATAAAAATATAAAGTTATTTTTATGTTTAGCTTTCACATTTGATGGGATAGCTAAGTTAGTATTAGAAGACATTTTGCCCATGAACATGTCAGATTCTGAGACTGATACAGCAGAGGCTGAAGAGTCACCCTTGTCACCCCAAGTGGAGCCACTGACCCATGTGAACTCAAGAAATTGGAAACTGAACTAGCTAATCAAGGAGATTTTAAAAGAATGGAGGGAGGAAAACTTTTTTAAAAATGGAAGAATTAAAGAGATTAGAGTTGCAGAGAGAGGAAAAGGAGTGTGTTTATTAGTTGGAAAGGGAAAAGCTGAAGAACAGAGTGTCTTCTAGAATGTATGTGGGGGGGGGGGAGGATCCTTACTACTCCCTGGACATTTTGAAAAAAACTGCCACAAGGTGGAAGAAAGTCAGTGTATACAATGTTTGAGACCACATTTAACTGGTTCCCTGTTGCCTGCAAAAATTTTGGAGCAAAATGGACAAATATGCACTATTCAAGACCAAGATAAATTCCAGACTAGGACTGGCACCAGAAAATCCTAGAAGGAATTTTAGGTCTCTATGGTAGAAGACACCTGATTCTTATCACACCTTCATCCATAATGTGAAAATGACATATACTGCTTGGCATAAAAGTTTTGGGGCCAAGTCGATTGAGGAAGTCATTGAACTCATGCAACATGGCCCAACTACTACACCTGATCTACGATAAAGCAGGTGGTAGAATCCAGATTTCAAGGCGCCATAGAAACATACCAACTTGATTGACCCAAGGTATTTAGAAAGTAAGAATAAACCAGTCCAGTCCTAGAGTCACACCACATCCAATGCCAACACCATCACATCAAGTTATGCCATGTCAAACCCTACCCAACCCACTCCAGGGAACAAGCTTCCTCAGCCCCCAATTGCTTCAAATATGAACAAGTGAGATATCTTAAAAACTATTCCAAAGTGATGGGGGGGCACAGTGGGAATTCTTTATGGGGTTCCCCTCCTCTAGAACAGCTTGCTTCCCCAAGGCAAGAGTAGCTCCCACTCTCCTGGCATTTTGACAGTTTGTAGAAACTTGACTCTTCAGGAAGGCTTTTGGAACATGAATGCTGTAGAACTCCTGATGCCAGGAACATTATAATTTTACAATCATTTTATGTTGTGCTTCTGTTATGATATGTTATTGCATGTTACTATTATTAATGCATTAGTTACAGCTGTTGCTTTTGTATGCCATTTGGCTGAAACAGTTTATACATTCAAATAAATAATTTTAAGGTCTAAAGAAATCAGACTGAATCTAAGCTATTTGTCAATGCCCAAGCAAAATCTATCCTAGTTAAAATACCTTTTCAGTGGAAAGTCTGGAAAGAAGAGCAGGAGTTTGCAGTGATGGAGGCTTGTTTCTATGTCATTGTTTTTGGGGAAGATTTAGTAGACCCTTATGAGAGACCCTCCCTCCTGGACAGAAGGAATGAGTGTCAATCAAGATAGACCTCCTAATCCTGACAGCAAGGGACTACCCAGAGCTTCATTTGGAAACTAGGGGCGGTCCTGTAGGGGATGCAGTGGAAGCAACTAACCAGGTCCAGATGCTGGCCCTGAGCAAAGCAGCGAGGTGAAAGCTGACGATGAGCCCACCTACCCGGTCACTACAACAGTTAGACAGGGCAGAAGTAGATATTCTGGAAGGAGGAGAATTTACAGAGATGGCAAAAACAGTCCTTAAGAGTAATGCAATGGAGTTCCAGTGAGAGCAAGGGAAGAACCAAAGCCTATCAGAGTATGGAAAAAAGTAGAAAGCAACCCCCACCCCTCGCCAAAGTCCAAAACTCTATGTTCACAAAAGAAAGAGACTGTTGTGTCAGGAGCATTTCTGATAAGGACACAGGAAGGGGTGCAAGTATCAGAGGTAGGTAGTTGTGTCCAGCAAGGAACATAAATGCATTAGCTTCACACATGATGAAAGTAAATGGACACGCGGGGTGTGAAGATGCAGCCATGCTACTAGTAATGTTCTTAAGACGTAGGACAAAAAAGAGCATGTATTTAAGGTAGGTTTGTTGCACTAAATTAGAAAAGATAAATTTACCTCCACTAGGCAGGCGAGCTAGTACGATCCCACTGCCTCCTCGAGCTGTTACCAAAAATCCAGCTTTGATAACAGACAAGATTGCAAGGCCTTTTGCTTTGGCAATTACATGGGCTGCAAATAACAAAACAATTAAAGATTACATATAACTTAGAGGTATATTTTTTAAAATACAATATTAGCAAATAAACTTATACTGCTAGAAGCCAGTGAATATTCTGTGATTGGAACAATATTCATTCTATATTATAGAATTGTTTTGCAATCCCCCAAATTTTAATACTTTGCTAAATAAACTTGGGGCAGGCGACAAAGACTCCCAATTTTTGTTATTGTTGCTAGTAAGAACAGACTGAGGGTTATTGATAATATTTTAAATTTGTTATTGATGAGTTATCCATTCCAATTCTAACTAAAACAGGATGCTATAGCTACTGTTACATACCTTATACACTTTACAATTTTTTTGAGGAAGAAAAACCCTTCTGATTTGTTCTTTTGGAAAAACATGATAGTTACTAGGACTATGGAAAGCTTCATATTCAAAGGCAAAAAGATTTAAGAGTCAGTACCTGTCAGCCTTACTAGGTAGACCAGACAGGAAACACGACCAGATGAACTAATTCTACTTTATTGTAAGGTTACATTAACAGAATCTTGCAAGTATGAAAATACTTCTCTCCTCCCGTCCCTTTTTACTTCTTTTGGAAAAACATGATAGTTACTAGGACTATGGAAAGCTTCAGATTCAAAGGCAAAAAGATTTAAGAGTCAGTACCTGTCAGCCTTACTAGGTAGACCAGACAGGAAACACGACCAGATGAACTAATTCTACTTTATTGTAAGGTTACATTAACAGAATCTTGCAAGTATGAAAATACTTCTCTCCTCCCGTCCCTTTTTACAGCCCAAGAAACTGGGGAAGGTCTCTTCTGAGCCTCTTGACCCACCCACATCTCTGCTGCGGGCTCGAGGGCTCAGCTGCCTTTTATCTGACAGTTCCCCTGGCTGTGTCTCCTTGCCCTGTCTCCCAAGGTCATTCCCACATACCATTGGCTTAGTCTGAATCCAATTTAACACTAAATTCCTACCCTAAGACTTTGTTACCAAAGTGGAAATTACTATTTCTAACATCAAAATCAAAACTGAAAAAAATAAGTCCCCAGAACTGTCATTTTCAAAGTCAGCCTTTAAAAGAAAAGTGTGTTTTCCCCAAAAAACAAGAAGTAGTTTTCTATTAGAAAATGTTCAAGCAGAAAAGACCATAGAAGGGCAAACTCTAAACTCAAGGGCAAACTCCCTTGATTTGTAGGTTTTAGTTGATGGTATAAAAATATCATAACACTGTTACTGTTTAGAACTTTTTCTCCTAGATATTTTAAGACAAAATTTTGCTTCATGAACAAGAAACAATGAGGTCTGTTGTCATTAATATTCTGGATGTCACCTGCAAATTCAGGACAGCCAGTGAGGCAGTAATCTTTTAAATTGGTCCTCTAGCATGCATTATTTCTAAGGGCAAATGAAGCAGGAAAGGAATTAATTATATGTTCCATAAAAATACTATTTCACTGGCCTTTTATAATCCATCTGAAAGAAAGCACATTGTGATTGAAAAAGAAACCTCTTGATCTAGGGCCACTGCCACTGGCTGGCTAGGACACTAACCGCTCTCTTAGGTTTTATAGAAAGCAGGGACCTTAAAATGCAACAACATGTGCTTTCCTCAAGCTCATAATCCATTTCACAATGTAAATACAGAATCTATGCCTTTACAGAATCATTCTTCAAATAAACTCAGCAAGCAAAGACAAGGCTTTAGGAATACTTTAAAAAAAAAAAAAAAAAAAAGAGGAAAGCACAACTCAACACAGAACAAGGTTTCCATAAGATATAAAAATGAAAATCTCACTCTTTACCAGGTATGATTTTGTCAGGACCATTTCTGGACGTTATTTCAGTAAATTCTCTTAAAATCTTAGCTGCCTTTTTTGCTTCTGACTTCAAATTGGAAGGTATGGGGTTGTTCACTGGAAGAGAAAAAAAGAATATAAAAGGATATTATAATAATATAACACTACCAGAGAGGCAAAAATCAACTGTCATCTTCCCAATGGCTTGTAAGATTTGTTTGGACCATAACTATCTATCTTAGTCATATCATGTGATGCTATTACAATTTCCTTCAATAACAGCATAATGGCAGAGCTCTGGAGGACATAAGCTCTTCATGGCACAGGAGCAAATTATCTGAGGGATCATCTCTCTTCAGTCACATCTACCCGTCCCATCAGGTCTGGCAGGAAGGGCATGCTCTGGATCCTGTCATCTAGGGAATGTTGTCTGGCAGGGCCCAGAAAGAGACTCTTGTGTCATGGCTCCCACCCTTTGGAACATCATCCCCCCAGAGATCAGATTGGCCCTGACTGTCAGCCCTGCGAGGTAGTCCAGACAGGAAGCATCAACCATGAGTACTAGCACTACCTTTACTGTAAGATTACAGTTAACAGCATCTTGCAAGTTGAAACTACATCTCTCCCCCCTCACCTTTACAGTCCAAAAAACTAGAGAGGGTCCCTTCTGAGACATTTGCCGTGCCCCCATTGCTTCTGCAGGCTCAGCTGTCTGTTGTCTGACTGTTGCTAGTCTATGGCTCTCCTGTCTCTCAAAGACATTCTCACAGACCATTCCACTGACCTTGCTGGCTTCCTGCAAGGCCTTGAAAACATGGTTTTGCCATCGGACATGGGGAGCTGGGAGTGTGGTAGAGCCCGTGCCATGGCTGTATTGGTGTTGATGGGTATTAGAATACCTCAGCAATAGATTCTCTTGTATGGTTTTTATATTGTTTTGTGTTATATTTAAACCCTTCTTTCTATCGTTTTTGTGTTTTTCTATTGTTTTTTTTCATTTTTATGAGCTGCCCAGAGTCATATATTTGAGATGAATGGCTATATAAATTGAAATAAATAAATAAAATCTTAACACAGGAAAATTTACTGATATTACAGTGACAAGTTAGGGATAAAAGACATTTTTTCCCACCATACAGCTCTGAAGTTTATCTTAAGCTACATAAATAACTGTTCCAACTGAATTCTACTATCAAGGGAGAGATGTAGCAGGAAACACAAAAACAGTTGTTCAGTTCCAGCAAGGAAATTTACTAGCTGCTGACTTTGGAACACTTACTTCACAGCTATTAATTTAAGAAAGATGATAATGAACAGCAAACCATGCTTTAGTGCTGGAAAAGCTTTAAAACTTTTAAGAAAACTCTGTCAGTTTACAGTTAATAATCTGACTAATCACTCACTGAGTTTGTCCTGAAAAGGGAAGCCTCTTTCTCATAAAACTAATCTAAGTGAAATAAATGAAGTTCTATTGTAAATTCTGATGGCCCCATTAAATTCTAAAGCATTTAAGGATCTGTTATAATATTTTCAAGAACTTGTGACTAATGAATAGACTACTACAATTTAAGACAGAAATAAGCATTTGAACTGCAATGTATGTTTGCTTATAACAGCCACAATTAAAAACTGAGCTGTTCAATACACACACACACATACACACACACATACATGTATATGTATGTGTATATTATGTATTTATTTCATTTATACTGCCAAAACTGTATAACTCCCAGGGGGTTCTAATAAAAAACACAACTTGTTCAACTTTTATATTAAACAAATTCAACATAAAAACATTAAAATAAACAACGATAAACATAATATGATGATTCTAACACACATTGGGCAACATCAATTTCAAAAGCCCCACCCATCCGTAATGGCTGCATGTATTATTTAGTAAGGAAGCTTGCAGCCACCTAATGTGTCAATATTTAATCAAAGTGCAACTATAAAAAATGAAAATAGGGTGAAAGGGCAGAAATATCTCAGGAAGATTTTCTTATTTCATTATCCTGTACAGGAATAGGGATGTGTGCAGTAATTTACCGAATACAAAAGGCCAAGATTTTGTCTTAATGAACTTACAATTAGTATTTGGCATAGACAAAGTGGTAATGTGTGATTATTCAGTTTACTTATTATTACTTAGATTAATTTACAGTACAGAATGAATACACTGTTCTGGAAAATATGACATTTGAGGAACTGAGAAAGAGAGGGGGGAGAAAGAGAGAGGTCATCTCATAGGAATTTTTGCCCTGCATTATTCCTAATTAAACGAATATGTGAAGTAAGACATGATTAGAAAAAAGCAATACATGACAGTAGCACAGATATAAATAAAACTACTCCTACAAAATGGCATCCAATAAGTTAAATTAACAAGTACGTAAAAGTATCGGACTCCTGATTATCCTAACAAGATGTACCAATTCCCATTACTCAGAGCACTATCCGACACATATCTATTCAGAACTGTTCCACTGCGTTCAGTGGGGCACATTTTCAGGCAAACCAGTGTATCCAGCCATATCATGATAAACAGATTGGAATTTTTAATTTATCTGAGCCCTAGATGAAATTGAACACTATGTGGCAATAACCATATAAATAAATACCATAAAAATCTCATTGGCAGATTAGCTTTGCCTTCTGTTATAGTTCTAATCCTTTTTCATCCTGAGTGTAGGTAGATACACTGCATATACCTTCTAGGAGGTGGGATACAGGCAACAGGATGCTAGCTTGCAAGGTAGTCTCTAGATTTGAGATGGCAAAACTCACAACTGGAGTAAAACTGGTCTTACTAAAATATGCCCAAAGTGTCTAGTATAGTCCTTATTGTTAGCAGGAAATGACGCATGTTAGACAGGAACAACTAAAGCTAATAGCCTAGTTTAAGCTTCTCAATCGTACTAAAATAACATTATGTAGAAGTCTTGATTGACTAAAGGGAAAATGGACGAAAAAGGTTAATATCTATTGCTCATCTGGAGATGACCACAGCATATGGAAGATTGTGACTTACAATGTAAGAAGAGTAAATAGTAAAATTAATCGATAATGCAATCTATGGGAAAAAGCTATTCTGCTAGGTGATATGAATGGATGCTAACTCAGCTGAAAGGAAATAAAAATGAAATTACTTTATTTTGGTCAAGCTAACTCAGTTTGTACCCACTGAAAATTATTTGCGTTCCTAATGATATGAATTCATTTGAAAGGCATCAAACATCAGGTTTCTAATTTGGTACTCATAAACCAACACCGTGCTGTTCTTTACACTCAAGAGTTTCCCTAAGAAAATTAGTCCAACTATAATTTAAAAGGTCACATATTGATACTTAATATTTGTAATATTCTTGGGAAACATATAATTTAGGCTTTCAGACACATTAAAAATACTGGTAGCTAATAGGCTCAAATGGAGGATAGCTGGAATGATGGTCTGTAAAATTATAATCAAATGCAATGTTAGCCAACCAAGGTGCAAGGATTTAATCTGAGGCGGGACACATATTATTTTTATCTCATTAAAAAGAAGGTAGAGAGTGAGTTTGGTGTAGTGGTTAAAGGCACCAGGCTAGAAAACGGGGGACCATAAGTTTTAGTGCTGCCTTAGGCAGCAAACCATCTGGGTGTTTTTCGGCTAGTCACTCTTTCTCGGCCCTAGGAAGAGGGCTAGGGCAAACCACTTTCAAAAATGCTGCCAGGAAAACTGCATGGTCTTATCCAGGTGGACACCAAGAGTCAAAACTGACTTGAAGACACACACCCAAAAAGAAGGTAAACCTTATTCTCCCATCAGCTCCAGCCAGCATGGGATTATGGAATTTGTACCCCACATTCTGAAAGGTGCTGGAATTAAGAGAAGCTGCTCTAGAAACCTATGAAAATATAGCTGTCCCTCTTATCATTTTTATTTATTACACATCAAAGTAAGCAAAATACAAACTATATTATATCTGAGTTTGGAGAAATACATATTTGTTAATAACTGTGTTTAATTTTAAATCTTAGCATGTACAGGGTTTCTGATCTCAAACTGCTAAACTGCAATTTGTCCTATGAAGCATACTGACTGGCAGAAGTATGTTAAAATGCTTTGCTATTTTACTAGCAGGGTTCTTCAATAACTGGAATAACACCATTTTATACTTTCTATTTTCTTAGTCTTCTGTTTGAATCTTACCCTCTCAAAAAGCAAAGTACTAAACTGAAAAATAATCAGATTTTTTTTTAAAAGTAGTCAACAGATTTGCTGAACAAAGGCATTCAAAGGCAGATACACAGCTGGCATTTCCATCTCTGCTGCCAGTATTTCAAAGTAAGTATTCAAAACTTCCTTTCCCCAGGCCCTATGAGCAATTCAGTTTCATAGTATCACAGAACAGTACCACTGAAATTATTGTTGAATGCTTTTCTCCTCCCAAGGGAAAAAAAAAGCAGTAAGATTCAACAGTCTTCTGCTTATTGGAGTTGCTGCCACAAGCTGCTTCCTACTTACGTGCTACAGATTCACAAAAATATTTGCCTACCCAGTAATAGAGGTGGCTATCAAAGAAAGAATAGCCTTTTCCAGCATTCTGTAGAGCACTCCTAGATTATTTGGTACAAGTGTAGCTAAAGATCTTCACCTAGAGATGATAGTAAGACATGGTTGCCTACCTTTTCCTTTTTTAAAAAAATATCAATACTGTATATTTTTATGAATCACCACAGAAGCAAGCCATTGTAAACGTGCTCTCTCGTAACCATGCCAAATAATACCATTGATCCATTTCTGGATTCCCATGATGAAACCATCAAATGTGCAAAAGCATCAGTTCACACTGACATCATGTAAAATTCTATTTAAATTAAGAAAATGTTGCATTAACTAGTGTTTGTGAACTGCAAATAATAATGTACTGTCATGTATCAAATACAATAGATCCAGGGAATTATATTACTCTTACATCATCTTTTTCCCCCATTGACCATTTGCAGTACCTCCAAAGAAAATAGATAGTCCATGAACTAAAAGTTGGGAACCATCACAGTATAGGTAGTCCTTGGATTACGACCACTCATTCAGCAACCATTCAAAGTTACGGCAATGCTGAACAAGGGGGACTTACAACTGGTCCTTGAAGTTGCGGCAATCTCAGTGTCCCCGCAGTCACATGATCACAATTTGGGTGCTTGGCAACCAGCTTGCAATTATAATGGTTGCAGCATCCCGCAGTCACGTGATCATCATTTGCAACCTTCCCTGCTAGTTTCCCACAAGCAAAGCAACGGGGAAGCCAGCAGGAGGTCTCAGGTCACTCCCACTCCTGCCATTTTTTCTCCCAAGGAGCCCTGGGTGGCATGTGGATCTCGTACTCCATAGCACCTGCCCATCCATACTCCATAGTCCCATCCACGGCACCCACCTACCCACACTTTGTAGCACCCACCTGTACTCCGTGGCACCCACCTGCCCACCTGTACTCCATAGCACCTGTCGGCCTGCTTGCCTGGGATGCGGTTTAAGCACCTCTTCCCATGTCATGGTCACGTGAGGTCCTCACTTAACGACCCGCATGATCCTTGCTTAATGATGACAACAGGGACTGCCAGGATTGCCATCACTAAGCAACAGTCACATGATGCCACGCTTTATGACCGCATCACTCAGCGACAGAATTGGGACAGGTCCCAATTGTCATTGTAACCCAAGGACTACTTGTAAAGCATACATAGTACTTCCACATTATGACAGTTCACTGCTGTTGTCAATAATATTAACCTCCCCTCTGCAGCCCTATTTTCAAAAAGATGATGAAGCAGCACAGATAAAAATAAACATCCTAAAGTTCATCTACTATTTGCATATCCTTCTTTAACTAATAGGATGCATGAACTGAGTTGTTGATTTAAATCTGTGGCCAAGGCAGTACAGCCCTTCTACCATGTCACTATTCTCTCTCCCTACATTGTGTTGATAACCCTGTTCCTGTTTGTTGTAGAAAGAAAATTTGGGAATAGTCTTAGAAACACTCACTTCTATTAGTGTTTGTTTCTACAGCCTGCTTTCTATATTGTCAAAAGACTGTGTATTTTTAAAAATTGCAATTCATTTATATATTGACCAACAATGAGGTGGAGGCTAGATTATTTGAGATGCTCAGAAAGATGATTCATAATGATGAATATGATTATGTCTCCAACAAAGTCAAATATAATACAGGTGCACTATTAGAATCTGATAGTTTGCTGAATTTAAGTTGTATCCAGTCACAGCTATGTAATTCTGCTCTCCGAAGCCAAAGCACCTGATTTTGACTGTTCTGTCTAACACAATTATGATGTCTACGGGAAATTGCTCTGAAGGGATGAGGATCATCTGAAATAATATGGGATATAGGATAAAGAGCTGCAGAAAGTGGAGAAAAATGGCCTTGTTCTAGGGTTATAATGCACCTACTAGCCCATTGCAACAAGTGGCTTACCATTTCCCTATCCCATTTTTTCCTGTGTTTCAATTTTAATTTTTACTGTGAATGTTCATATTAATAGATTTTGTCCACAAATCTGTTGTAATATTCTCCTTAAGGCAGATCAAGGAGTAGAGAAAAGGTGAAAACCTTTGCACAATCATTGCACCTGTGTGAACAACCCAAGGTAAAAGGAGCTATGTGAATGGCTCTCCCTGAGCAAATATTCAGTACAACTCTAAAGGAGGATCTACCTTGGAAGCTCTTTAACCTAATTTTGGATTTTTTTTTTCCAGCCTGCCTAAGCAGCTGAAGAAAACCAAGTGATATTACAAACTACAACAGGCTCAGTATATTCAGGGCTTTAAAAGTTAAAACTAGAACAATGAATTGGTCCTGAAATTTAACTGGCAGCCAATGCAGTCAAGTAAAATTAAGTGACATGCTATTCAGACATCCCCTGCTAAAATTATCCACAGAATTATAAAGAACGAAGCTGCCAGCAGCATTCAAGCAAGAAAAAAAAAAAGTTATGTGAACAAAGATCAGACGTTTTTCAATAGCTTCCACTGATTCAGAAAGGCAGGAGGAAAAAGCCTAGAATTTAAACCCAGAAAGATAAAAATAAGAGCTTTTATTTCTATGTGTTACAGTGGACAAATGTATTGTATACAGATGGCTTCATGCTTGCCTGCAATAAAGGAATGAATCTTGCCACTGTAGTCATGAGTCTTCTGCCAAGAAGTCAATTCCTAAACAAAGGCTAGGTATCTGGAGAACAGAGTTTTACCATGCCTAGTCAAAGCCTGATAATAATTTTAAATCAAATTCAACGTTTGAACTATCTTCAAGATCAACCTCACACAGTAATCTGAACAGCCTATAGTCACAAGCATAAATGACATAACAATTTAGCTAAGTGCTGTTGAGTTGGGCTTGTCTCCTAGTGTGTGGGCGAAGAGGTATAGCTCCCCCAATAAACAGCAGTTGCAGCTTAAATGCATTGACACCTAGAGCTAAAACAAGTAAACAAGTTGGAAAACTTGAACATGACTTAACAGCAGCAACCCACTGGGTCATGTGACCAGGAGGGAGGGGATTTAAGAATGGAGGAAATAGTGTTTTGAGCCACTCCTTAACTACCTTTCCTAAAGGGATACACTGGGGGATTTTCTTCCTTCTGCAGCAGTCCCCACCCAGATCCAGCCCATTTTCAGATGCAGTCATTCTTTTGCCACTTTTTCTCACCAATTGGCCCTGTTCTTTTTTAGAGACAGGTAGGCAGTGTCTTGAGCCCTTTATTATTCATCTCTTTCCAATATTCAACTGATTGAGAAGTCTAAAAAGGGGTATTAGAGCTCTTCCAGATGACACACCTGACTTTTGGCAAGGATATATGAAATCCCACCATGCCCATATCACAAGTGCCTTTGTTTTGCCTATATAGCAAGTAATAATGGAAAATAGTTCATTTAAAGAACTGCATACCACTGTCCTGGTAGCTATTAGTCTGCCCTCCATTCACTGCCGGAAACAAATAATGAGAGAAGAAAAAGTGGGGCAAGAATCTCAGAACAAAGGTTGGCCTGATCCTATCTGGATTTTCAAGTCTCGAGAATACTTCATCCAAATATTAACCAGAAGCGTTTTTAAGCTATTTCAGGGCCCACACTACAGAAAGTAACACATTTGCCTTTATATCTCTGAACTTACAGGTTGGATAACAAACTGTCATAGAATTACTTTTTGAAAGAGCAATTTATAGAAGTAGGGTCAATATATTTTTGAAAACTGTTTCTATATTTATTTATACACAATGTAATTAATGTGATATTTCACTGTCTCTTCTCAACAGTTTTTACTGGTGATGTATTATGAGAGCTGATATTTAATTTAAAGTGAGAAGTTTTCAGTTCAAGTACTACTTTTGCCACAATTTCTACCTTATCCCAACATCAACACAAAGAAGATAATAGTGACCTGGATTACAGCTCAGTTTAAAATTTATTCTAGTAACTCTTGGGAACTTCCAAAACCTTATTTTGATTATGAAACTCCATCCACGGTTCTTCCTTTTACATATTGTAGGAGAGCAGTGTTAGCCTACCGTATCCCAAAATCAGGAATCTATTAGTACCTTTTCAGACTAACAAATTTTATTTTTTAAAAAAATGTTAGTCTGAGAAGGTGCTACTAGACTCCTTCTCCTTTTACATGTGTATGCCTATAAAACTGTTTATTTCTCAACAATTTTTTCTTTTATCACAGAAATTACTAGGAAAAAGTCAGCATGGATATCCTTGAGCTCCACTGATCCCAACAGGGATAAACCAAACATAGCTTTGCCTTAGCAGGTGTCAATCTGGTTTACTCAGCTTAAGGATGGTTGGAACCGATTAGTACTTGGATGGGAAAGAACCAGGAAAAACCAGGGCTGTAGGCTAAACTGGGAAATCAAAAAACAAAAACAAAGACATATCCCCATCCTGAAATAAGGCAATGGCAAACCACATGGAAAGGCCATGGATGTGTCAAAGCCAAGCTTGACTCAAGGAAGACTTGAAATATATCCCTAGCTATCTTTAAAATAAAGAGGTTACTTATCATTAGAACGTGAAGGGGATATAAAGCGTTTAGTTTTAGCTGGTTTAGATCTATCTTCCTCACACTTTGGTTGCCAGCCCAATATATATACAAATACGTAAGTCATTGCAGCCAAATACAAATACAACAGATCTCTAACAATTTGTGAGGCTGTGATTCTAAAAGTTTCTTATTCTTGGGCAGCCTCACCGACTCGTAACTGGACTTGTTTCAGATCAAGAGTTTTGGAACTCAGTCGTTTCTCTCAAACGCGGAGGATAACCCATGAATTTCATCGAGGAATCCGTGGACGGATGTGTGCGACCCAAGGGGGAAATAAACGCAGATCCCGACCCTGGTGGACCAACCCCACAACCTTCCTCAGAGCCCAGTATATTAAACCCTCTCCTTCGCAGACCAACCTCATCCGGATACTTACTTCTGCCGGGGGTCCGCGCACAAGCTCGAAACCCTCACTGGACAAGCTCCTCTTGACAAAAGCCACGCGAGAAAAGGAGCACCGTCGCATGCCACCGACCCCTTTCGCCTGGGCGAGACGGCGGCTAATTCTGCTGCCGCTCACCTGAAGCAGGTGCATTTGGGAGGGGAATAGTTGACCTCCCCAGTGCCTGATTTTTACAGGGATAAATGAGCGAAGGATGTCAGTAAGCAGGGCATCTTACCAATATCTTGGGGGCGTAGTTTAACATTCCATTTATTCCTCATCAAAACAGGCAAAAGTTCTCTCGTTCTGTCATTATAAATTAAAATCCAGGCAATAGACGAAGACGGACCTGGCCGTTGCCGTAAAGCGGGGAAAAGAGGTTTTACGTCAGTTCGAGAACGGCTTTCTCTCCTTTTCCTTCGTTCGTTGCCTTCAGGGTTTTGAGCAATTATGGCGGCTGGGGAAGCGAAGTCCGTTTTATTCGTGTGCCTGGGTGAGTGGCGTTTGTAGGGCGAGAGAAAGGTGGGATGCACCGGTTGGCAAAAAATGGGGGGCATTAGCTGTTGACCTTTCCTTTTATTTTGATACAGAGACCAATAAGAGACGAGAAAGGAAAGAATAGAAATTGAAGGAGGAGGTTACTACGTTTCCCCCTCCTTTTTCCCTCTCTTTCCAAGAATGATAAATAAGGAATAAATACATATAATTTATTATATTTATTGTAATTTTATAAATAAAATTGCAAATATTCCTTGTTTCTCATCTCTCATCTTTGCCGCTCCTTCTGAACATCTCTTGCATTTTTCCAGAGCTCCTAGATTGCATCCTTTGCCTGCCTCTCTGGCATCAGCAGTTTCATATTTATCATAGCAGTAGGAGTGAGGGTGCTTTTGTCTGGACAACTCAGTTTACCCGCCCTGCGGTTCGCGAAGAGGGGGAATAATTGAACGGCGGAAAGATAAACTGTTTATCTTGGCAAGCGTGCATCATTCTTCAGAGGGGAGAGGAGAATATGACCCTGCTTCTGACTGCATTGTTTTCTTTTGAAAACCTTCAGTGTTATCTAGTGAATCCAGATAGTCTATACACTTTTAGTCCATTTGCTTCATAATTTTATTATATATATA